TGCAGCACAGTGCAAAAATCCCTGAGTTCAATCATCAGAATGCAGCGGTGTATTGCTTAATATATTTTGTCTGCTTTTCTTTTTGGTGGGTTTTTTTCCTTTCCTCTGTGTGTGTGTGTGTGTGTGTGTGTGTGTGTGTGTGTGTGTTGTTTTTTGTTTGTTTTTGGTACTGGGGATCAAACTTCAGACTTTGTGCTTCTGAGGCAGGTGGGGGCACCACTGAGCTAAATCCCCGGCCCCTGGTGGTTTTTTTCTTCATTATCATTTCCTTGCTTGTTATAAGCAGAAGGGTAATTCCAATACCCGTTACTTCATTTCAGCTAGAAGAAAAAATTTAGTTTCTTTAATGGACTTCTCATCACATTGTGGGTCCTATTTCCTATTTCTTTGTATATCTGGTAATTTTTTAGTATATACTAGGAATTGGATATTTACTTTGTTGGGTGATAGATTTTTTACTTTTTATAGACACCCTTAGTCTTTATTTTGGGAGATAATTAATTACTTGTGAGTAGTCTCATCATTTTGAGCTCTGCTTTTAAGCTTTGCTAGGTAGAACCAAAGTAGCCTTTTGGATTCATTTTGCCCCAGTACTGGGTCAATATCTTTCTTAGATCTCTAAATGAATCATGAGGTTTTCCTCTCTGACTGGTGGGAGCACAAGCTATCTCTGTCCTACAGAAGTTCTAGATTTTATTCTCTCTTGCCCTGGAGCGATTTTTTCTATATTGTTGAGTAGTTTTTTTCATGTGCACTTGCTAATAAGTACTCAGCTGAAAACTAGACGGAGTGATGGCTGCACATTTCTGAAGGTATTTCTTTGATGTTCTCTTTTCATTCGTATTACAAATCTGCCCCTCAGGGGTATTTCTGGGCTCCACTTGTATTGCTCCTCTCTATGCTGTAATCTAGAAACTGTACAGGCATGAATCTGCCAGTGGAGTAGAAACCCGGTTTGTTTTCTTTCTATCATGAACCTCTGTTCTTCATGCTATGCTATACAACGTAAGAAAACGATGCTTTCTGTTTTGTAAAATCGTTTCAGCGGGCCAGGGATTTAGTTCAGTGGTACTGAACCTGCCTTGCATGTGCAAGGTCCTGAGTTCGATCCCTGGTACCAAAAACCAAAACCAAGACAAAACAAAAATGAATAAATAAATAAAATTGTTCCATGTGAGGGAATAAACACTTTCCCTATTAATTCATCCTAGTCATAAGCAGAAATATTATTTGTCATTTAACAATAAACTGGTATAATCTTTTTTATCTTTTGGTACTGGGGGGCTGAACTTGGGTGATTATGCTCTCAAGGCAGGCAGCAGAACCACTGAGCTAAATCCCCAGCCCTAAACTGGTATAGTCTATATCTTACACTCTAACACCTACTTATGAGGTGTTTAAATTTTATCTTTCTTTTCTACACCTTGTCATCATTTACTTCCTAACAAAATTATAAAAACTATATCCTCAAGCATCTTTCACATTGGCAGGAATGCTGAAGGCTATGGGAAAAAGCTTTATCATTAGACTTTTGTCTGATTTCAAATTTTATTATTTCATCTTGGTGGCTATTGCTCTAAATTTAAGTAAATTGGGGATGATAACAATAATACATGATTGATCTGGCATTCAGAATGATCATGAGGCCAAAAGAATACATATAGGGGGGAAAAAAACCTTTACAATCTGTAACATGTTACACATGTTTGTACTTGCTTTTATCATCAATGCCAGTTTAAATTTCTCTTTCAATACATTTTGTGTCCACCCATTGTTGTTACACATTTCTGAGTCTGACTCTTTTTTGTACTCTCTCCATATTTCCTCTTTCTTTACTATCTTAATATCTCTGAATGTGTGACCGTAATTTTGTTGAATTTGAGGGCTTAGGAAAGAAATGTATCAGACTAAGAGCCAGGAAGCCCGAGTTACTGTGTCAGCTCTTCCCCTTAGGTCTAGCTAATGTGACACAAGTGACTTAGTCATTCTCTTTACTCTTCTTGACCTTGAAGTGGAAATAAAATATTCTCTGCTGAACTTAGAACTATTGTGAGGATAAAATATGCAAACAGTGCCCGACTTACAAAAAATGGTTCAACTTGTAGCTTTCATGTGTAAGGAGGTATAAGCAATACTCATCCGATAGAAGCTAAACTTTGGATTTTGAAATTTGATCTTTTTTTGAGGCTAGTGATATATGCTATGATAATACTTTTATTTTTCTGGGCAGCAACAGAAGGCCATTGTTCCTAATCAACCACATGACTGTGCGGATGAACCAGTGCTTTATACCTTGCCTATTCTTAAACTAAGATGCTCAGTAAGTCAGGTGTAATAAATGCATTGCTTTCGAATGATACCTTGCAATGATTTAGATTTGCTGAAACACAATCCCATCACAATTGAGCATTCTCTGTATAAAAGATAGACATTTTTATATTATGTCATTTACATATTGGTATTATATGGTTTTATTCTATAAATATATAGAATAATGTATAATGAAAATAACTATGTGCTAGATAAGCATTATAATAGTGGTAACTGTAAGGAATACTTAAATAATTTCTTGTTCACTTTTTAAATACTTTCTCTGGTATCATAACAAGTATTTTCTATCTAGGAGAGGAAAAGAATTCTCTCTCTTTTTTGTTAATACATTTTCCAAGTTTGCTCATATGTTCGGCAAGTGTGTTCCACTGCATAGTTTAGTGCTCAGAAATATATCAGTTACTTTCTAGAAAATCCTTTCTTAAATCAAGCAGTTTTCCATAGGTATCTAATAATGTAAAATATTAATTTGAGATGTTACTTTAAATAAATTATCCCTTAAATGCAAAACAATTTTCACACTCAATTTTAATTTCACACTTTGCCCTTCAAGTAATGCATAACTCCCTAGTGATGCAGTGGTAAAACAGCGTGTATATTAGATGATGTGGAGAAACTAAAAATGTTAGAAGAAATTCTCAAAGCAAGTCTTTCGCTCTCCTAATTATTTAAGGGATGTTTCCATTCCAATTAGCTGGCTTTTCAGATAAATGAAGTGCTGCTTCAGGCTTCTAAACTAACTTTTTAGGTGCCCAATTACATGGATGAAATGAGGGCCACCTATTGGGTCAGTAAGTAAAAAATCTATCAGCAGATTATCAAATTATCGAAGGGTTTAAACAAAATCCATGGGAAGTGGCCAGTAGGATTATTCGTGCTTCTTTAGAAATTCTCTAGTGTGGCTTCCAGTTGTTCTGCAGATGGCAAAGTTGTTCTGATCGCAAGTCACACATTCCTTTACCTCACAGTCCAGTCCCCGTTCACAGCACATTCCCTGTAACTCCTTTTTCTGGCTAGTTTGTGCTTCCTTCAGCTTCTTGTAGTGTAAAGCTTTCTTCCTCGCACATGTGTGGAAAGCTGATATTTCTCTTTCCAGTCTTTCTCACCAACCAATAACAGCTCATTTTAAAAACGATTGAACACAATTGGCCTTGGAAATCTCTCTTTTAATAGGCAAAATTTCCATGCTATGTGCTTGCTCAACATTTTCTTAAAAGGTTGTTGGCAGATTTATTTGAACAATGACCTGTAGGATTATTACCCTGACTCTTCCCTGGACTATAATCTCTTAAATGTCAGAGATTGTATCTGATTTGCTCTTAAGTCTGACATTAGAATCTAACAGTGCTCAAAATATAAACATTTAGTAAATACTGATAGTATTCTTACATTTAGTAAATACTGATAGTATTCTTCTGGAGAGTATTATGAAACCCATCTAGAATAGCACAAGACTTCCCTAAATTTAGGCTTATCTCTATAACATTTTAAAGTTTAAATTTTAGTAATTAGGTTCCATGATTGAGAATTCCATTATTTTGTACTTATTACTCATTTCCTCCTTATTTTTCTGCCTAATACATCAAGAACATCATATGACACATTGGTCAGTGCTATTCAACTTGGAGCATTACTAATTTTTAAGTCTTAAGCCCTAGATGTGAGTCTCAGCTTGATCACTTACCATTTCTGAGGCCTAGCATGAGTCAATGAGCCTAGGTTTTCTGTTATTTGTTTTCTTTAGTCTTTTTTACTTTTATCTTTTTAAAAGATAAATAAGGCAATAATTATGGAAATTTGTTACAAATTTTAAAAATAAATTCAATTTCCAAGGATTGTGTTTTCACTCAACCGCTGTTTGAAAATATTATTTACCCAACTGTACGAATAGACAAATCAACTGGCAATTGTGAGACTGTCACTGTGCACTTTCCAGAAAGATATACTGTGTTTTGTAGGAGTCCAGAGGAGGGACATTCTCTGAGGGTTCAGGGAAAGAGTTCTAGAGAACATAGATCTATATTGAGTCCCACAAAGACATAGCTAAGAGAAAAAGAGTCATCCCACAAAGGGACAGAAGCAGTGCATAAATGCTTTAGACGAGAGAAATAACACAGAAAAATTTACAAGTAGATAATGCTGTGTGGTCAAAACAGGGAGAGTGTGGGAACTGGGGCTCTGCTATACATATGAGTGAGGGAATAAAACAGTCAAGGAAACTTTGGAGTAGGAAAGATAAAATCTGTACAAGAAAATCAACCAAGGAATAACATAAGCAAACTGAACTCTATTGTGAAAGTTTAATATCTGTTGTTTCCCACTCAAAGACAGAGATTCTTTCCTGGAACAAATTTTAGTCAGGATCCTTCAATTCCCTCTTCTCAGCCAGGCCTCACAATACATATATGGAAAATACATATACTCTGCTGAGCCTCCCATGACAAAATACCAAGACTGGGAAATTTAAACAATAGAAATTCATATTCTCATGGACCTGAAGGCTAGTGCTTGAAGGTCAAGGTGTTTACAGGCTTGCTTTCCTCTGAAGCCTCTCCTTGGCTTGCAATGGCAGCCTTCTCTGTGTTTTTACATGGTTTTTCCTCTGTGTGTGTGTATTAGTCACACCCTACACCCACAATTTAAAGGAGGAGAAGTTCGTTTTGGCTTACAGTTTTCTTGGGCTCAGTCCATGATTAGCAGGCACCAGCACAGAATTAGCATGGTGGAAGGGTCTGATGCGGGAAAGTTGCTCACATCATGGCACCTAGGAAGCAAAGAGAGATGGGAGGAGCCACACCCTTCCATGTCAAGAACCCAGTGACCCACTTTTTCCAACCAGACCCCACTTCTGAACAGCACAGTCGTCTGTGAACTCCACACATGGACTAATTCACTGGTGAGTGAGATCTAGTTTCCTTCCAGAACCCCTAGCTCTGACCAGGAGACTCTTGGGGACATGGTAGAGCTAGACCATAACAAAGAACACCCTCAGTGTCTCTCAGTGTGCCCAAATTTCCTTTTAAAAGGGCATCAGTCATTTGGGATTAAAACCCACCCTAACAAAAGAGGAACCTTTCTCCACTGTTGGTGGGAGTGCACACTGGTGCAGCCACTGTGGAAATCAGTGTGGAGATACCTCAGAAAACTAGGATTAGAGGACCCATTTGACCCGGCAATTCCACTTCTGGGTATGTTTCTGCAAGAATTAAAAGCACCATACCAGAGCGACATAGGCTTACCCATGTTTGTAGCAACACAATTTGTAATAGCTGATCTTGGAAACAGCCTAAATGACCATCAACTGATGATTAGGTAATGAAGATGTGGGCTTTTTTTTAACATGATGGCATACTACTCAGCCATAAAGAAAAAAAAAATGAGACATTTAGAGCTAAAACGAATGCACCTTGAGGCCATACTTTTAAGTGAAATAAATGGGATACGTATATTTAAGTTCCAACTTGTTTCTCTGGTGTGAGAAACTGAAAGTGTAAATGAGGAATAAGATGTATAATAGGTAATGCAAAATAAGAAGAAAATGTTCAAAATGGAAGGGGACCTAAGGAGGGAGGGGAAAGAAAAACATTAAAAAGGAAGGGGAAAAAAAAGAAACAAAGCTTATGTAAATAAAGAGGGGTGGAGGGGTTGAAGGGAAGGTAGGGGAATGGGACAAATAGGAACCAAAATATATCATGTATGGATGTAAATTCTCAGTAATGAATGTGATCATAATGTGCACTTAAAATGTACCAATAAACAATAAATAATAAAAAATACCCATCCTAAAAGCCCCATTTTAAATTACCACTTTAAAAATATTGTCTCTAAACAGTTACATTCTGAGTTAGAGTTAGGATTTTAAACTGCCAATTTTTGGGAGATACAAGTCAGCTCAAATTGTGAGTGCCTGAGATAAGTTAGTTAAAGAATTAGACAATGTGTTTACTGTAGTGTTTAAAAGGTTACATTTTGGGGTTTAACCTCCTTTCTCACATTGCTTGTTGACATTTGCAAAAAATCACTATATACAAGCTATCTAGTCTTGGGGGAATTACAGAATCTCACAAAATTCTTTACTTTTAGGAAAAAATGAGATAATATTTACCCCTTTATGATTGTACATGTCACTAAGTATAAAATACATGCTAACTAATTTCGTATCTCCTTTCCAATTCTTTCATGAAATTGGGGAAAACATCACCTTTTTAAATTTTATTCTTTTTGAGACAGTCTCCTTGCACAGCCAATGCTGGCCTCAAAACAAAATCCTCTTGCCTCAGCCTCCAGTGTGCAAGAATTATAGTTATGTATCACCTAATTTATGACCTAAGATAAAGAAATTATCTTTTCTAGATATTGTTAAGAAATGAGTCTATAAACAACAGCTTTGTTCTTGCTTACTATACACACACATATAAAGCACACAATGTTCTTTTGCAAAAGTGCAGTATGTTCTTTGTTCCTTCAGAGATAATTTGTTATGGTTATTCTTTTTTTCAAGGAGTATCACATTTCACAAGCCTCTGTTTTTTTTATTTTCAGGATCATCCCAGGAGACTTTATAATATTCTAAATTTTCAGGAGATGGGCAGTGTGGGGTCATGGAACAAGGGATCAGTCGATACTGACTGTACGAAAAGGTGGGTACCCTAAGGACCTAACACTATAACTTCATATCTAATAATTAATACAACTAAAATTGGACATTGGAATGTTTCTATTTTTATCTTAATCTCTAATAAAAGCAATAATTATATCTATGAGAGTCTATCTTCTCAGTAAACAAATAATGCTCTTCCCATTCTATTCTTAGATACAGTAAGATGCTTATCTCTGTTTTCTTAGTCTTTCCAGACAAATGGAAAGAAATTCTCATTTTGAAATAAGGGCAGTAAAAGCTGTTGTCAGATTGTCTCTCACAAAGGAGAAGACCTTCTAAGACTTATGAGGAAATAGAGATGCTCCTCATCGTACGATTGGATTACATCCTGATAAACAAGTCAGAAGCTGAATATATTTAAAGTTGAAAACATATTTATTATGCATAAGCTAGTGTTAGTGCACTTAACACATAAAGGCTTAGTCTAACCCCGTCATTTTTGTATGAAGGATTGAACCCAGGGCTTTTGCATTGAGCTATACCCTAAACCCTCTGATTTTTTTTTAAATTTTTGGACAGAATTTGTTAAGTTGTTAGCTAAGTTGTCCAGGCGGGGCTCCAATTTGCAATCCTTCTGCCTCAGCTGCCCCGTGTACTGGGATTAAAGGTGTGCAGCACCATGCCTGGCAGCCTAGCTTACTTTAAAAGTGTTCAAAATGCTTAACATTAGCTTACCATGGGCAAAAGTCACCTAAACAAAGCCTATTTTATAATTGATTTCAATTTAGTGATTATTGCGATGAAAGTGAGAAACAGAATGGTTGTACGGCTGCACTTTTGCAAATGGTAAAGTTGAAAAATTTTAGGTTGAACTTAAGTTGAAGGCTATACTTTTTATTCATGGTACCTGTTTCTGCACACATGATTATAAGTATCTGGTATGTGCATGTGTGTGTGTGCGTTTGAGAGAGAGAGAGAACAATAGATCATATGAAAGAACTTCATTAGTGGTTATGGGCAGGGGATATAGCTCAGGTGTTCTGCTGCCTGCCTTGCAAGTGCTCAAGGTCCCGAGTTCAATCCCCCATACAAAAAAAAAAAAAGAATTTCATTAGTGCTTAAATGTTGTACCTAATTTAAAAGACTACAGACTACAGTATCTGGCTTCTGTGAACCCTATGAATGTCTGTGAGGAGAAATCCACCAGGATTCAGAGAGGTTACATGTGTAAAAAGTTAAAAAAGAAAATCAAGTCTGGGATGGCTGTCTGAGCTACTTCCTACTCTAGAGTTCTTTGTGATATCCTTTTGGGCTCGTTGGGGGAGGAGGATGTTAACTTCTTTTGCTGCCTCATGACACTGCATAAACAGATCTAAAGAACTAATGAAGAGAAGATTGTTTTTTTGAAAGCTATTGAAGCTGATATAATCATAGGGAAGTGTAGTTTACTGAAAATTTTGATCAGCAAGGGTAGAGAAGAAAAAGCGAAAACTAACTTTGGAGTTTGGAAATCTTTGTTTTTGGTAACACTAATGGTTTGAAAAAAAAAATCTCCCTTACTTTGTACGTTTATATTTTCTTACCCCGTGTCAATATCCCTCATGTGAATTCAGATTATAAAACACTTAATAAATTTGTAGGATTGTAAGGCTCATCATTTCTATAATCTAACTCCTTTCTAATGAGAGAAAAGAGTTCTCCGCATTTTATGAATAACTGAAAGAGCTGAAAACTGAGATGGAAATCTGAGTTGAGAAAAGTACTCTACTTAATTTGTTCTTCAAAACTTCAGTCCTATTTGTATGGACTTAATAACTATGGTGATTTTCAGAAATAAAGAGTGATTGACAGAAAATGTAGTGAATCATATCTGGATTTCAGCAGTCCTGTGAACTTGAGAAAAGCTCTGCTGAGAAGAGCCAGCTGATGGGCACTTCCAACCCTGGGGGAGCTCGCTGGACGTTCTTGTGGACATCTTCTCTTCTCGGAAGAGGATACCAGTTCCTAACCTCTTTCAGGAGGTGGTAGCTGTCAGTGAGGAGGACACTGCCATTAAGAAGGAAACCCAGCCTTCCACAGTCCCCTCATAGCAGAGATTCTTCAAAGAGGTATTCACCACCGGTTCTTTTGTTCCTCCCTAGCACCACTGGAGCTCCTGAGAACACTTGTTTCCTTTTGTGATGTGTATTGATACTTTTTACTGCTAGCTTTAATTATAGAAACTAAGTCACTTGTGTATAGATACCTTTTACTGCTGGCTTTAGTTGTGTAAACTAGACAAGTTACATGTTCGCTTTTGTAATGTGCACTGATACTTTTTTTGGCTAGCTTTAATTGCTGAAACTAATTCACAGGTGTATTGATGCTTTTTACTGTTAGCTTTAATTGTGCAGCTAACCAAGTCACATGTTTCCTTTTGTAATGTGTATTGATACTTTTTATTACTAGCTTTAATTGTGGAAACTTCTGGGATTGCTATTAATTTCATTTGGTCTATATTTGGGCTCCTGGAAGTACATCCCACAGTAATCAATGTTATTGTAAGGCATTAAACTTTTCTGCCACCAAACATAGAGTTTATGGTTGAGACAATTTTCACATGGTCTCACAAGGCAGATGAAACAAAAGAATTTAGTACTGGTACATGAATATTGAGGAGAGGAATTTATAGAGATAATCAGTGACTATAATTATGAAAGGAAAAAGAGCATAGGTATCCTTTTGTTTCAATTTTATATGAAATGTATTGAGGGAGTGATTCTCTGTTGAGTAAACTTAGGCCTGTCATTGAGATCCATGGTCAAGAGATTTTTATTTTTCTTGGAATTCTAGAAATTATCTAATAGAACCACATCATTATAATGGGATGAACAGCTCTAATTAACTACAAAGTTCATCTCGTATGTTTGGTATTGCTCCGAGTAGTAATACACATATAAACACATGTGTGCATGTGTGTTTGTGTATCTTACCTTTACGCTTTATAACACTTGTACAATGTAGGTCTTATTTTCTCTGTTTTACTTATTAGAAAAGTGAAGGGAGGGCAGGGACAAGGGGAAAAAAATGAGAACCAAGACCTGTCATGTGAAGGTACAGGATCCCAGTAATGAATGTAACTGTATTGTATACCTAGATTGTACCAATAAACTCAATTTTAAAAAAGCGAGGCTCAGAGAAAATAAATGGTTTACCCAAAGGCAGCATAGCAATTGGCGAGTCAAGTTTTAGACCCAGAGTTACCTGGTTTAAAAGCATGGTTCATCTGCGCTAAGCTCTATAAATGCAAATAGACCCTCTGACTCATGTACCAATACTCAATTTTAAAAAAGCGAGGCTCAGAGAAAATAAATGGTTTACCCAAAGGCAGCATAGCAATTGGCGAGTCAAGTTTTAGACCCAGAGTTACCTGGTTTAAAAGCATGGTTCATCTGCGCTAAGCTCTATAAATGCAAATAGACCCTCTGACTCTTCCGTTGTCTTTCCATTCAGCTATGGTGGACTTAGATTTTCTAACCTGTAACACTAATGCAATCAAAACGTACTCTCTGTGGTCACTGCTTTTACTGAGCCATTGAAAAATAGGAAGGTTATTATAGAAGTGCAGGCATTAAAACCAATGAGGGTACTTGTATAGGAAAGAAATTATTTCATGGAGGGAAAACAAACGAAAGGACATACTCTTCTTGCTTTGATGGCTCTTGGAATACTGGCACATTCCCATGGCTGACTAGCCTTGATAAGCTTCCTCCAACAATGGTATAAAGTCTTTTGAACACATAAAGTCCAGAACTTTCCTTCTGTGCATGTGGAGACCCTGAGACTACTGGAATCAGACCATTTGGTTTTGGCTTCAGTCATTTTTGCATGTTCTTCAGGTAATAGAGTTAAGCTCATGGAGTAAAACAAGCTGGCAGAAAAAATATATTACTTGTAAATTGGAAGAAGGAACTAAGAAGTTTTCTCTCAAGAACATTTCATTAGTATGTTTAATCATCTTTAATAATATCTCCTCTTTCCTTCTTTGGAGACTAAATAATGGGATTATACAATAGTAAACTTAATTTAGAGAAAATTAGTTAAGTCATGCTTTTCCAACATTAATTTAGATAGTTACGGGCTATGGAAAGTTCAACCTTGATTCTCCAATGGTTATGAATATGTTTGGTTGGAACGTAAGAGTTTTTCAGGATATAAAATACCTGAGAATAGACTGAGAATTTTCAAAAGTGGTTATATACAAGCTTTGTTTTCATAGAGTTTCTGCCTGCTATAAGGGTGAAGAAGTGTGGAGCGGGATGATGGGTAACCTGTTTTCTACTTTTGTGAATGCAGGCTCTGCCTCTCCTGTCTAAATTACATGCTCTTGGAAAAGCCATGGATTCTTCTCTAAGTCTCTCTTCACAGGTATTCAATGTTACAGTTTTGATATGTTCTTTTGGGGGGTCATCCTTCTCTAATGTACATCTGGAGTCATGACAATTAGTCAGATAGTTCAAACTATCTACAGATGGCATCAACAGGCACCCTCGGTTCTCTTAGTACAAGCTGCTTTTCCTAGACGTGGAAACTTAAATCTTTATCTGGTTGGTAGGACAGCCCATCTGTCTTCTTTTCTTCTCCCTTTCCACTTATGAGGGGGTTCCAAATAGAAACAAGCTTATCTACAAAGTAGTTTGGTCTGGTGCTGCTGAGGATCTCAGTTGTCGTAAAGGATTATGAAATATTTGGCTTTGCGTAGGGTCCTTAGGTCCTTTTGCCTTCAGCAGGGGCCAGGAGCATCATGAGAACACATTATACTTTAAAAATAGACATTATCTGTTCAAATCCGCCACCTTGACATGATCTCAAAGGATAGAAGATAAACTGGTGTGGTACATAAAGTCTAGCACGAGCCTGAACAACTGGTTTTCTGTATGTGTGTGTCACCTGTGTGTATAAAAGTGAGCCGTGTTTCCTGAGTTCAGTCTTAGACACAGCTGAGCAATGCACAGAGCAGACCTGTATAGCCAACTTACATCATCTTCACCATGAAGACAGTTGCTGTGCCACTGCTTCTGACCCTGGCTCTTTGCCTTATACAAGGTGAGCAATTTGCATGCAATCTAAGGTTCTTGCCACATGTCTCTAATCCCCGAGGAAGGGACCTTCCTCCCCTACACTTGCCAAAAAAAAAGAAAGAAAAAATATGTATATTTCTCTGTATAAAATCTTTTCCACACATAGAATTTTGAATATCTACATATGTGGATTTAAACCAACATTGTTATCTAAAAATAGCAAGTGGTTGGAGAATTTTTAGCAAGTAGTTGTAAATTTTTAACCATGAGAAATCCTTTAATTCTGTATTTGTTTTGTAAAGGTAATACCTACTTTTTCATGTTCCTCTTACCAAGTGTATTAACTTTTCATATATATATGTTCAAACTATATTAGAAAATTAAATATTATAAATAGATGAATTTAATATTAGATGTATAAATAAAATATTTAAAAACCTAAAAAAATCTGGTTTTGTTTTAAAGCAGCAGTGCTTTCTAACTTATTTTTATGTTTTCAAATTCATAAAGGACTTAAAATGTTGCTTCTAAAGGGTGAGGGACTTTGTTGGATCTAGAAGGTAGATTTTGAATTTACTATTTGATATGAAGGAAAAACAGATTTCCCAGATTTACCTTTTTCCAAATCATTACATTTTTTAAAAAGAAAACCTTAGAGATAAAATCAGTATGTTCATTCATTATATAAAACTGATGCCCACTTTCCTAAGATGCGTGTGTAAACACAGGAGAGCGGGGAATGAGAGAATGAGATAGGCTGTGATTTTAAGTAATCTTAGCTTTTGTTGAATCTGTCTCTAATATTTGTACTTTCAATAAGAAGATAAAGTTGTCAGAACTCAGAAAGTGGGATTCTATGTGTACATGTGAAATCATGTATGTTATACTTTTAAATGGTATTAAAATTCATATGTTATATTTTATATGCATGTTGTACTATAATTTATGAAGGGAGACTGCCATACTTGACAAGGTTCTTTTGGAAATTAGATATTTTGGAGGTGTCAGAAAGCACAGGAATACCATTTACTACATCGTAGCTCTGAGAGAGTGGAGCTAAGTGTGTATATACACTAATCTGACAGACTGCCTTCATTTTATTTGCCATGGTAAATTTAAATGTCCTCAAAAACAGTTTGTAGTTTTACCAAATACTGGCATTAAAACGATGCAAGAACTGCACTGAGTTATTTTATTCTATTTATTTACTGAATATTTTACAGTCCCTTAACTCTGGTTTCTGCATTTTTCTCCCAGATGCTGCCAGTGAGGATGCAAATCAGGTCAGTCCTGCTTGTTCTCGTTGAATTTACTCCAAGATACCTAAAGCAAAACGGTTTTTGGCCAACAGCTTCATGTTAATAATGGAGATGTATTACACTTATAGGTACTATAGCTTTTGTTAAAAACACAGAAACAGGCTTTTATGAATAAGCCATGAATTTCTCTGTCCTTGTCTCTCCCACTCTCCCCTCTCCTTCTCCTCTCCCTCTCTCTCTGGCTGTCTGCTTTACCATGTGAAAGTGCTGTAAAATTCTATAAACACAAAATAAATCAACAAAAAACCCACGATTGTTCTATTTAGCAACTGAGCAAAGCCACAATTCACCATACAGGAAGCTAAAAATGTTTTCTGGCAATTATTATGCCAAAAGGGGTTATCTGTATGTAGTATATATAATCAAAGTATATATTTCATGTAGTAAATGTTTATTGAGATCCTGTTATGTATCTGACACTGTATGAAATCCTGGGGTTACTCTATAGTTAACAAACTGAACGAAATCCTTATCCTTCTAAAACGTATTTTAGTAGAGGAAAAGACACATTAATATATACATTAGTAAAATATATAGTTCTTTAAATACAGATTAGTGTTTGGCAGAAAATAAAGGAGAAAAAAATAAAATAAAGGAAAAATCAGCAGCAATTCTGGGGCACAAAAATGGTATCTGTTCTGGCTGGCATAGTAAGGGAAATCCTCCCTGGAAATAGTCTGCCAGAAGGGTCTGACAATCACAATGAATATGAAGATCTTTGCAACTGATAGCAGGCCAGGAAGAAGCACTGGAGAGGGCAGAGGACCTGATGCAGAGGTCTTGTCTTTGAGAAATAAATTAATTTCTATGTAAGTTAAAATTTACTATTTGAGGGCCGGGGATTTAGCTCAGTGGTTCGGTGGCCTGCCTCGCAAGCGCAAGGACCCGAGTTTGATCCCTGGTACCAAAAAAAAAAAAAAAAAAAAAAAAAAAAAAAAAAAAAAAATTTTACTATTTGAAAGAAAAGTTAAAAGGGCCAGTTTCTCCCTACACCATGCTGTCATGCATGCTATTAATTTAGCATTGGAAGTAGTGTTGTGTATCTAGCGAATTTCACTGTGTCACTCAAAGAGTTGAATAAGATAAAGTGAAGTTAACTCTTCTTGGCACCAAAATTCTCTGAACTATGATTAAAATACTTCCTTGCTGTATTTTTTGGTTACTTTTAAAAAAAGCGAACATCTTACAGAAATGTTGTAGAGAATTTTATCATAGTTTCTACTATTTTGTCTAAGCTGGCTAATTACAGAGAAGTCCACAAGTATCGTAGAATAGAAAAAAGGCTGCAGTTAGAAAAACTAGAGAGTATGTTTATTTGAATGTTTTACACTGGAAAAAAAAAGGAAGATGTTCAAATCTTCTTGGGCCTAAAGGAATCCCTTTATTTTTCAGTATTTTGGGTGATGCCTGCAACATTTTCATTACCTATTTTTTAATGTCATTAAGACCAATATCACTGAAAAATATTTAACAATATGAATTCAGCTACCTCATATAGAAATAAAAGGCAAGATTGCAAAGAAGAAAGCATTTTTCTGGAAAACTTTCTAATCATACTTGTCACATACTGAGCCATGAAATAAAACTACAGATGGTGCTGGATTCAGTAGCTTGGGTTCTTTCTAGCATCACAAAAACATGTTAAATACAACAAACACAAGCCAGACCAGCAAGGAAAAGTGCTATAGCAACTTGCAAAGGTCTAAGCTTTTGTTTGTTTTTCATCACAGAAGGGCTAGTATGCTGTGAAAGCAAACTTGTAGAGCCCTTACACAGAGTTGGGGGGTGAGAGGCCCGGGAAGATCTGATGATGATGAGACCACAGCCAAGGAGGCCAGAAAGAACACTTGGCTCAAGAAGGATCCATTTTTTTTTTTTGAAAATAAGAAACAGAAAACAAGAACAGCAACAATAATAGAATAAAAACAGGGTGAGAGCTGAGAGTTATTCTCAAAGTATGTAATTGCTGCAGAGACATTTTCAGACGTCAGGAAGGCTTTTTGGTCTGGATCTCCTACTGCTTCACCCCACACTATTGTAGTAATTGGGAGTGCTGTCTGCTTTCCCCAGAGGAAAACATAACTTATGTTTTCAATTTGCACAGTTTTCCCTTGTGTACAAAGAATGCACTGCCAAATTTCCTAACTCAAATAATAGCTCTAAGCCTCATCTAAGCTAATTAAACAGCATGAGCAAAACTTTAACTTACTTACAGTGCCCAAGTTTTAAAAAGTAGATCTATCTGTTTAGGCATTTAGGCCCTCATTTAACTGTGATATGCTAAAAGTCCAAATCAGGAATTAACCTGGTTGATTTTATATTTTAGCAATTAAATACTGAGAATTATGTAGAGCTTCATTCCAATATTATCATGGGTCTTTGTTCTGTATATTTTCACTAAGTTCAGCCTCACAAGAGATATATTTCTACTATGAAGACAGATTCTTCTGTCATTCCAGTATAAGATTTTCAAGACTATGAATACTTATATCTGGTAAACCAGGCAATAACTTGCAAAATTAGCATAAAACGCTGCAGCATCAGAGAGAAGGCATAGATTGCAAGATGCTCAGTTGCTAATCTGTTGCCAGAGATTACTACTATGCTACTCAGATAGGATCTCCGAGTAGTGATAATAATCTGGGAGATGTTTTAATAGGTCACCCTCAGCAAAATTTCCCAGGCAGGTCCCTGATATTATTTACTTTTCTTTATTATTTATCATTCTGTAAATGCTACCAATTTTCTATCATGCTTATGAGGCTTGATTAGGGACATCATTCTCTATCTGAGGCATAAATACTCTCCATTCAAGGATAAGTCTGCCTAATTTACTGTTGTATCTGTGGCACCTTGCAAATTACATATATCTTATCAAAATGATTACCAACTGAGTAAATTATTATAAAACTACAGGCAGCACAATAGAACCCTCTAATCATCTTTGGGGAGAGGAAATGTCTTTAGGAATTGGAAAAACTTTATTTTCTAATTAAAACATCTTAAAGCAGATTTTTTGGGTGGTGGGGTCAAAAACAGAACAGAAAGAAACCTTAGATTCCAAAGGCTGGATCTAAAGGCCTAATTAACTTTATAAACTATTAGAGACTTTATATGAACTTTACTAGCTATCAAAAGAGTATTACTGATTTTAAGTTAGAAAAGAGTAGCATGTAGCAGATCTCCAATAAAACATTTCCATAGAGTAAAGAACCATCGGTTTAAAAGGTTATTTTATTGCCTCTTTCCTTTAGTGCCTTTTTCAATTTTAATATTCAAAACGGTTTCTACTCTCCCCCCTAAACTGGGTAGAGTGTAATCGCTGTCACTTACAAAACTAAAGTCCAAACCAAGTGTAGCACAGGATGTTGCACTCTGTATAAAATTGTAGTACCAGAGATTATGCCAAAAATAAAACGAGAGAGAAGGGGGAGGAAGTGTGTTGAGACAATCTCCACATTACTTCTGTCAACTCGCCAGCTTTCATTTTAGTGGTCAACAGTGTTGTTAACTTCGATGGTGTCAGTTGGAGTGGGAGTGGAGGTACTTCTAAGGAAAGAATAAAAATTTTAAAATAGAAAATGGCTACGGTCCCCCGAGGTGTTGGGCGGCGATGAAGGGCCTGAAACTTCAGCTTTATTAGCTTTAAGGTGGGTTTACAAGTCAAAGGATGCATCACACTATCTGGATATTATTTTCCCAGAAAATGGATCCATGCAGAAACTTGTTTTCCAGACATGTATGACTGAGGAACTGTTTTTCATGTAACTACTGCTAACATTTCTAGAGCTGGTATTTTGCAACATATACTTTGGGAAATGTGGGCAGAGGTATCTAAAAGTTTCCAATGCTCACACATTGTCTCTATCCACAACCCTTTTCTATTCCGTTCGCAGAAATGCCTATTGGTTTACAGTGTGCTAGGTATTTTATGCATCATCGTAGAATATTCCTATAATAATAATGATCACCACTGCCCTAACAAGAATAATGAAACAGGAAATTTTACTTGTCGAATATCTACTTCACACACAACATTTACTCTTCCTATGAAATGCATATATTTATATCCTCTGTTTTAATTTATATAATGGAGCTTTTGAAAAATTAAGTTGTTAAGGCTACTGGGGTCATAAATGGGAACCTGGGAATGGAAAATCAGATATTTTGACTCTATGTTTTCTATTCTTCCCATTTTACCAGTTGCATCACATACATGCTAATTAAGTGAATTTATAATCTCTAACAGATGACCCAGAGTCATTAGTTTTGTTTCTGTACTTCATATCAACTGTACAACTTGCTTCTGTAGAAGAGAAAGTTGGCCACTAAATAATACTGTGCAAGGAAATTCATGTCTTTTTTTAAATGGGCTTTTAGTAAATACAGTCTATTTTTTCATTTTATTTTTCAGGAAGCATGCAGTGAATATCAAGCATTGATGAAAAATGGGAAATTGATCTGTCCTCAAGATAAAAATTTTTTGCAAGGCCCTGATGGAATCACATTTATCAACAAATGTGACACATGCAAAGGAATATTGTAAGGTTCACTTTACCTTCTACCCTCTTAACTAGTGACTATCCTATTCTTTTCTTTCAAATGTATTTTTGTAAACATGAGTAGTTAAATAAAATGCTTAGCCAGCCATTCTGACATCATCTACCATATAAAGTTAGCAGCATGAGGTCTTAGTAATCTTTCAAATGAGACCCCAAAGTAGCCACAATTAATATTTTATAGAGCAGTCTATAGTCTTTTGAGCATGGAGTTACATTTTGAAGTGTATGCGAAAAAGTAATTGAAGAAAGACTGTCATATTTCTCAGGCTGGATTGAAACTTAATTCTGTTGTAGCTGAGGGGCTAAACAAATCCCTTTGGGAAGGATGCCAGAATCTCTTTGTGGTAGTCAATCGGAAGAAGGATTTAAGTAGAATATACACTAATTCTTTGAACTACTAGTGTCTTCAGGCTTCTGGGAGTACGGGAGGATGAGATGGACTAAAGGTTGTTTATAGTTTCCACCTTCCTGCAGCTTAGAAAGAGTTAGCATCCTAGAAATTTACTAGGATACTACCCAATGCTTTTGATTTGATTTCCTTCTGCAAAGGTAGATGTCATGAATTATCAACTGTAAATCCTCAGACTAGAGTATCTTCATTTGTTTTTGGCCTTTTAAAGATTCTCTGTGAGAGTTTTATTGCTCTTGTTGTTATTTTTTTGTGGTGCTGGGCATTGATGACAGGGCCTTTTGTATGCTAAGTGAACGCTCTTGCCAAAGTTCAGTCCTCAGCCTCCTCCTTTGTGAACTGGAAATTGATCTTCAAATCTGACGGCCATTGAAATTTCAGCACTTACCAATCCAATACTGAACCTATCAACGTTCCATATGTTATAATTGGCTTTTTAAAATACCAAGTTGATATTCTTAAAGGGATTTAATTTGACACGTGTAATAACATTGTGGTAGGAAGTTGTGTTAACATGCACTGCTTTCTAGTGATGAGAATGTGGGAAAGTGAGGGAAGACAGGCAGGGTTTGGGAGGCTGGGGCAGGTTGAATAATCCTTTCTCATTCTCTTGAAAGCTGAGTGTAAACCAGCAGGTGTATTATTGACTGTAAAGTTTCCTTTTCACTGCATGGAGTGCCTTAATATGAGACCAAAACTATGAATACAATAAATTTACTGAAAAATAATTTAAAACATTAAAATACCTTGAGAATTACAAGATGGTTTATCACTTTGGAGGTACTCAGTCAATAATTATTTTTAGTGCCTTTGTGAAATATTTTGGAATAAATTTATTGTTTTAAACTCGAAAAGATTGCAGTAAGGCAAAAATTATCTCCAAATTACTGTAAGAATGGGTTGCTTTGCTCTGTGGGGCGGGGCTCAGGGCTGGAATTGGTAGGCAGTTACAAAGATATTTGATTCAGTAGAAATACGCTCATTTGAAGACTGTATTCATGCAGTGGCACAGATAGTTTTTAGAGCTGGTGATCAGGCTGTTGACAATATTTAAGGGAGGTAGTAAGTTATGTGGTTAAAAGCTAAGATTATTGCCTATAATAGTCCATATTTGAGGGCTTTCGTTTTCTGCATTGAATGGTATTTGTGCTATCTTTCCCTGTCAGGACATACCTCTACTTTTGACATGGTAGTTTGAGCTGAGGAGACCAATAAAAACCAATAACAACTTTACCATGTAAGTTCTTATTCCAAAAAGTTAAGCAAACAGTGTGTAAATGGCGTGATTCCTCATTTTCTTGCAGGGAAAATGCAGCAAAATCCCAGGAAAAGGCCGTGCATTTAGCAAGAGCCACTAGAGACACTGCCCAGGCAGAGGTGAGACAAACGAACCTGTCGTGTTTGCTTTTGGGAAGCTGTTTGACTTTATGTAGAGCTATCTGTTTATTTCCTAATTACTAGGTTGTACCTGTTGTGAAGCCATCTACTTAGAAGGGTGGGGATGTGGCTTAGTTCAGGGGTGGGCTAAATATCTGGTACATCTAGTCCATTAGCCCAACCCATGACCCAACTTTCTGAAAACATTTTGGGCACTGACAGAGATGGAGTAAGTCAGGGCCATTTCCCATGTCTCCCGCCCAGTCTAGCTCCAATAAGTGCCTTCCTGGCACAGCTGAACTAGATCAAAGCTCAGAATTGTTATTGTCCATGTAACTTGGACAATATGTATCTCTGGGTTCTTTCTGTCTGTCTCTGTCTCTGTCTTTCTGTGTCTCTGTTTCTCTCTGTCTCTACCTCTCTTGCTCTCTGTGTCTCTCTTCATTGTGAAATGTGTCACAATGTTCAATGAGAAACTAAATTTAAAAAGTCATCCAGTGCTTAACATTGTGTTAGCAATCAGTCACTCAACTTATTCTACCTCCTTTCTTTTCTCTTCTTTTGATTCCACGTCTTTTCTAAAATCTGGAAGTTTCTTGTACTTCAGTTTTAGTTGTGTATTTATATCTGTTCTGCAGATTGAGACTCAGGTTCATATTTTGCTTCAGAAACGTGTTGGGTGGTTAAAAAAATGAATAGTAAGGAAAGAAACTGCATATACTTAGAACACTACACAATTTTCCTTGATAAATCTTTTTCTTTATACAAAATTTTTATTTATGCAAAAGTATAAAAATAAACTTAGAAATTAAGAATGTCTACTCAGATTGGTCAAAATTCCTGGCCTAAAATATCACAAAAGTACTTGAAAAAAATGAGCACTGCAATCAGGTACTGACATCACCTCCAGCTCTCCTATTTCATCTTTCTCTTCCTCCACCCCTGGCTCTGACACATAATTAAAGTGATCATTCAGTGCAGACACACCCTTGTTACTTATAACACGCTTGATCTAGCCAAGCTAATGTCTGCTTTGGTGATTTTACTTAGGAATGTCTAAGAACCTTGGCCTCCACACTAAACACAGTTATTAGACAATTTTGTTAGACAAATTAGTGTCTTGGGATTCAATGTCTCACTTTAGAAATAGTAACACAAAGCCTACTCATTTGGTCAATTTCTGCAAACATTTTGTCTATAACAAAGGGGAAGTAATATATGGGAGCCAGGAAGAGTTGTTTGCAACTTTTAAAATGGGAGTTTCTTTGTCACATTCGGAGACAGGGTCACCCTGCAAGATCCAGTACCCTCTTCCTCCTATCTCCTAGATTTAAAAAAAGATACTATAATTTCTGTCAAAATTGAATGGATTCATACAATTGCATTATATTTTTACTGATGGCACTTTTCACCATTAAAAAGACCAATCTACATACTTTCTCTGCTTAGATTCCTGCCATTTAAAACCACCCAGTGACTTGCTCTGGTGCTCTACCAGTCTTCTTGATATCGCCTTCAGAGCATATCCCAAATTGAACTCCTTTCTACCATTTTTATCTCTACTCCAATCCAGTTAGTCAGAGCTTCAGCTCTCTAGTATCTTTGATCCATAGGGAAATTTTTGCTTTTTAGCTTATGATTTATTCATGTAACATTTCTCATGATTTAGGTTACCAATGTTTCGGGATATTAAGTTTATTTGAGTTTATATGAATGTTTATGGGCACTCTCTTCAGATTTGTTTTTGGCTTTAGTGACTAAGTCCTTTTTCTTAGCTCATGTTACTAAAAATTCATGTATATGAATTTTTCGTGTATATGTTAGAAATAAAAAATTACAGAATTTATAAAATTTCAACCTGAACTTGGGAGTTCAACATGATTAGAGATACAATGTCTTCATAAATTACTTTTGGTACAATTAACTTTTTATAATAACTTGCCAAATTTAAAATTAAAATTAAAAGTCAGTTTTTCTATGCTTTTGAGTTAAAGGTAGATGCCAAACTGAGAAACATTTACGCTGACACCAAAAAATATATAAAATAAAAGGTTAAAGCTCTACTGAATTCTGGATAAGTCTAAGGTGTTCTTGTGTAGCGACACTCCCATGTAACTGCCTGCCTCAGTTACAGGGTATGTAGGTTTTATGAAGGGCAGGCTACCAGAAGGAGGACGTGCACAGAAACTATTGAAAGGGGCAACCTTTCTCCAAATAGTTGACAAACCACTGTACCAATAGGAACACTTGGTGGAAGTGAAGATCTTCACCGAGAGTGACAAGAGTGGCCAGAGGTTGCAGTCATGAATGGAGAAAATATACTCTTGACTCAGTCTTCCCAAGTAGGCATCAGAGACTGAAGAAGCCCAAGCAATTCTCAAACTACTGGTCAACCTTAAGATTGTGCACTGTACTTATAAGGCGCAAGATATCCCGGTGGAGGGAAAATGCTTGATATAAAAATGGCTGGAACCTTACATGACTCTTCTATACACAAAAGTCCATCTGGAGAGCATGAGAGCAGGGCAGACTCATTAGGTGGACATATTTAGTTTTTTGTTTTTCATGAAAATGAAACTTTTAAATTTACACATACACCGTTTTCTTTTTCTTTCTTTAAATTGTGTCTTTTTTGCAATCATTACACCCACACTCATTTTGGAACATTAGGACATGGATAGGTTGAGGTATCTATTTGAATACAGCGTCAAAACACTAGCAGGCAGTAAGCTACAAAGATTTATGGAGGAAATATAGAATCCAAGCCCAGGACAAAGTAACAACAAAAGCACAACCATAAGTATTTTATTATCAGACAGATACATCCGCAGCTGCAAATTATGGGAAAGCAAGATTTCAAAGACTTGATTCAGCTAAAGAAGCATAGAAAAACAAAAAAAAAAAACAAAATATAACCCTCAGGGGAGAAATTGCAACACAAATCTCCACAATGAAGTATCAGATAGTTTAGATTTAACAAAAAATGTGAATGATGCAAAGTGACAAGAACATGTGATGTATCTTCACTGAAACATAAAAACTATCACTGAGTATCTACAAGTGTTAGATTTGGGAGAAAATGATGAAAGTTATTCAAAATGCTTTTTAAAATCATGTTGGAAAAATTGAAGGAAAGTATGAGAACAATAACGATAATAAATAATTACAGACTTTCAATAAAAATAAAAAGTGTAAAGAATCAAGTAGCAATTCTAGATTTGAAGAATATAACAAATGAAAAGGAAAGTTCAGTAGAGAGTCACAAATGCATATCTGTGGTTGCATAAGAAATTGGAAAACTCAAGGAAAAATTAATAAAACTAACAGTGGAAGTGCAGAGAAAAATTTTATATGAAAAAATCAACATATTCACAAAATCTTTTGGACCACAGGCACTCCTACAGATACATGACAGAGTATGGAACACTAGAAGGCAGAGAAAGAAGTGAGGCAGACATTTTCTTTCAAGGATCAGTGGCCTAAAATGTCCCACATGTGATGCAAAAGTTGATTTGAGCATTCAAATAGCTTGACAAATCCCAAATGCAATAATACAAAGAAGCCTAAAGATCAAAATATTTTAAAAAATGAGAAAATTTGGGATGTGGTAAGAGAAAAATAATACATTGTATATGTAGGTGACAAAAGCTGACTTCTCAACTAAAATGATGAGGTCCCAAGGGAGTGGAGAGGCTCAGCACTGTGACCCTGAGAATGTGGCACATCGAGGCCTGAAACATGCAAGCTGAGGCTTGCAGCCTGTGTGCAGCCTCAGCAAGGTGAGTCGAGTCCTCCACATGCTGGCCACTCGGTACCTGGCCTACTCATCTCCCAGCTGTTAATTCATCGAGACATGAACAGACAACACAAAGTGGTATTGGAACAGTGGGAATCAGCAGTTCAGTTCAGGAGGTGTTGTTTACTGTAGTCTTCCTGAAATTGGGACAATATTGAAAAAGCAAGATGAGTTTGGTGCTTGGGAACTTGTGAGAGCTACCAGTGAACTCTATTCTCAACCAGCAAAAGTAACAAATTCATGAAGCACTTGCCAAGAATCCAGGGCTTGACAACAAATCCTCTTATGAAGGTGATTGGCTGATAAAGATGACACTAAATGACTTCAGAACTCTATGAACTCATGATTGAAGAAATGTATGAGAAATACATAAAAATAAAATGGAACCCTAAATAAACTAATAGAAAATAACTTATTCCAGCATAGTTAAAGTAGTGGTGGACAGAAGACTTAAGCTAACAATTTTTAGAAATACTGACAGAAAAGTAACTACATTCAACTCTGCTACTGGGAGAAAATACCCCTTACTTATAACAATTTCAAATAAGCACAATATATCTCTTTTTTATATAACATGATTTTTAGACCAGTCTATAGATTCTAATGTTCAGAGTTCATTAAAAACAAGTTAGACTCCTACCTCACAAATGCAAGGACCCAAGTTCAATCCCTGGTACAAAAAAAAAAAAAAGTTAGAAAAATTATGTTATTCAGGGATAACATTTTCATCATAAGCCTTCTATAATATTGTAACTTTCCTACATTCCTCCCTGGATCTGGGTCAAAATATTTAAAGGATCTTCTCTTTTTAAATAACAGAGTGAAGGAAAGTATTAGTTGTACAGTGCCAGATGATGAACAGTACTATCTTAATTTTATATTATACTGCGTTTACTGGTGCTGTTTTGTTTTATTTACTGTGATGCAACAGCTTTGGAGCACAAGAAGAAATAAAATAGCCAACTTCTTCAATCAATAAAAGGCAATGGAGTGACATAATCAAAGAGCTGGGAGGAAAAAAACAGGTTAATGAAGATTTGATATCCTCTAAAAGTACCTCACAAAAATTAGAAGGAAATAAAATATTATCCTATCAAGGAAATCTGACTTCTTTGCTGACAAAACTGCCTTTGTAGACAACAATGAAGCTAATTAATTAACTGAATCAGATGGTAGCTTGGACCCATAGAAAGAAAAATAGGGTGAAAATGTGGATTAATATAAAGGACTCTATATTATATATTTTTAAAAATTTCTTCTGACTTTCTGTAAAGAGATTTTATTATTGTTCAGAGTAATAATCATAATCAACACCCTAAACTGAAATAAAGTGCTACCCAATGATGATAGAATATACATTCTTTGAAAATTATAGAAAAATTCAAGATAAACTATTTGCAAAAATATAAACATGGCTCAATAAAATTAAAAAAGATTAAATTCATACAGGTATGTTTTGACCATAATAGAATTAAAATCAAAATGAACAAGCAAAACTAATTATAGTAACAACCAAATATATGGAATTTACATAACATACTTCCAACTATCTAATGAACCTGAGAAAGAAGGATCTGAGACATTCAAAAATAATTTGAACTTCAAGAAAAAGACAATTCTCTATATAGGGTTTAGCTGAAACAATATCTATAGCTTTAACTGTCTAATTCAGGAAAGAAGGAAGGAGTAAAAACTTTAATTATCCACTTTAGAAAACTAAAAAAAAAAAGAAAGAAAAATAAAAGTAAACTAAATGCAATAGGCATATAAAAATTAAAGCAGAAACTATAAAATACAAACCAAAATAATAGAAGAAATTAATAAAACAAGTCGGTTCTTTGAGAATAAGGACAAACATGGAAAAACCACATTGACAAAGAAAAGTAAAAAACAGAAGGAAAAATTACCAAAATCATGAATGAAATTGAAAACATCAATAGATTCCCTGAAAAGGCCAGGCATAATGACACATACCTATAATCCCAGTACTCCAGAGGCTGAGGTAGAAAGATTGCCTTGAGTTCAAAGCCAGCCTGGGTGTCCCTGTCACAAGAAAACACACAAATACCTACATACACATATATGTTTGCTGAAAAATTACAAAGATTTTTTATAATGAAATATTACAAACGTCAACGAATCAAACAACTTCAATAAAATGGAAAAAATTCTAGAACAAAATAAGTTCTTAAAACTGACCAAGAAGAGATGAAAATCAGAATAGATCAATGGCAAATAAAAAATTTGAATCAGTAATTAAATCAAAGAAAATCCCAGGCCCATATCACTTCACTGGTTGATTAATACTCAGCACTGATAGAGGAAATAATATCAGTTCTTTAGAGACACATTCAGGAAAAAGAGAGGGAGAAGGCACTTCTTAATCCATCTTATGAGGTAAGAATTATTCTGATAAAAAAAAAATCCAGCTGAAGGTATCACAGGAACAAGAAACTGATGACAGATGTTCATCATCAATATGGATAGTTGAAATCCTTAACAGAAATTTGGAAAATTAAATCTGCAACATGAGAAGGATTAAACCATGATGAAGTGGGAATTATGCCAAAAATGCAAGGTTGGTTTAGCAACAGAAAATTAGTCCAACACACCATAGTGATACAACAAAGGGCAAAACCAATGACAATGACAATAGGTTAACCTCTGACAATGTTAATAGGTGTTGAAAAGAATTTAGCAAACTCTAACATTTATTCAAAATAAACTCATGCAATAAACTCTCTAAGGAATAAACCCTCTTAGTTTGATAAAGAGGATCTATTAAAATTCTGTGGCTAATGTACAGAGTGCAGAGGCTTCATACTTAGTATTTGAGGAAACAGCAAAGAGTGGTTTACTCTGAATATTTTTTCTTCAATATGGGATGGGAGGTTCTAGCCAGTATTGGGCAAAATCACTTGATTAAATACAGTGATGGGAAAAGAAACAACTACCTTCTGTTGTAGGCAAGTGACCTTATATAAAGAATGTCCTAAGGCCCCACAGAACAGAAAAATTGCTAGAACTAGTAAAAGAATTGCGCAAGGTTTCTGTGTATAAAACGAATAATACAAAGTCAAGTGTACATTAGCAGAAAACAAACCAAAATTAAATTATTAATTTAATAATGGCATAAAATACACAGAAATAAATTGAACAAAATAAGTCCAAAGCTTATACTCGAAAAGGTTGCTGAGAGAAATGGAAGATTTAATGATAATACGGTCAATAATGGAATGTAGGTGTGGTCATCTCATAAAATTAGGATGAATCTGAAAAATTTCTATCACCTACTAATGTGATGTAGAATGCAAGCCCCAGTCAGGTTTGTGGTGATACTAATGTTAGTAAACCTACCTTGCTGTCACCTGTAAAAAAACGTACATCTTATACAATTTGTAATACTTTTTAAATCAAGTATAGTACAGGTATAGGTACTTAATATATTTTTGTCATTATTTTAGAGTATTCTCCTACATATACATATTCTGCTGAAAACTTACGAAGGTTTTGCAATGTACTCAATTCCAGGGATTGAAACCAATGCTTTGACCATGTTAGCCAACACTACATCCCCACTCTTTTAAAAATTTTTATTTTAAGATAGGTTTCTGATTAAGTTGCCCAGGAAGACCTTGAGCTTTCCATCCTCAGACCTCAGCTTTCCATGTAGTTGGGGCTTTTACCAGGCCTTTCTCTCTTGTCCTGTCCTGTCCTGGCCTGGCCTGCCCTATCCTCTACTTTTTTGTAGTTCTGGTAACCGAGTTCAGAGCCTTATATCTGCTAGACAAACCCCGAAATCCTCAGCCCCTTATTCTATCTTCCGTTTTCTTCATTTTCCTTTGTGCTTAGTTTAATCTGCTGTTTTGTTCATCTTAACTCTCAGATATGTGCAGATGTTTGTTATGCTGTATGTACTAAGTTTGTGTGACTACACTTCAGGTGTTTGCGCAATGTTAAAGTTACCTACTGATGCATCTCTCAGAACATAATCCCATCATCGATAGGTGACTATAAAGGGTGAGCTCGTCCTTGTTCGTAAGTTGAAAAAGTCTATTTTGCAGATAACAATTGTTTCAAAAATCTACAAATTCAACATATTCCCTATCAAAATCCTGGAAGGTTTTTTCTTTTTTTAAATGGAAATTGACCAATTTACCCTAGTATTTTTATTTAAATGTTGGGTTACATAGTAACTGAATCCAATACTTAGAATAAGCCAATTGTTTCAGTGTGTTCTTGTTACAAGGACAGGCATAATGTTCAGTGGAGTAGAACTGAGATCCTTTCCCCCATAATCAATTTAATATGCTCTCAATATGTCAGCAGAACTCAATACTGAGGAAGGTTAGATGTACATAAAAGATTAAATTCCTATTTTATATTTCACCTTAAACAAAAATTTACTATAGAGCCCAGAAAATTTAATCTTAGGAAGCAGTGAAATAAACCATATGTCTACACAAAGTCAACAGATGAAGATTCCCAAAGAGTTTTCTTTCTCTTTTTTTTCCCCTTCATTTAAAAAAAAAATAGCCTAAAGCCTTACACTTGCTAGATGAACAAATGTAAATATTGTGTATTTTGGACATATAACATTATAATATTCATAATATTTACATTTGTTTTAAGGCATTAGTGCATATATGTCACAGCTTGATCATTTTTGATTGTGTGTAATTGTTTAAAACCTAAACCAATTTAAATGTCCAAATGGCTACTGATAATGGATAAACAAACTGAAATATATCTGTACAATGGAATGTTATTCAGCAATAAAAAGGAATATACTTTTGAAACTGTTACAACATGGATGGATCTCAGAAACCATTTTCAAAGTGAAAGAAGCTCAAATCAAACAATTACATATCTACAAGTCCATTAATATGAAATAAAAAAGGTAAATATACAGAATCAGGTATCTTGATTTGATTTACAAGTACCATGGTTGTCCAAAATAGGAACTGAGAGCTGAGATTAATCTGGTAATGGCACAAAAGGATCCCTTGGAGCGATGGAAATATTCTAAAACTGGGTTCTGGCATTGGTTATACAACTCTTTAAATTAATTAAAATCCTTGTACATGAAAAATGAATGAATATTATGGTACATAAATACTTCAGTAAAGCTGCTTAAAACTTTACTTTTGAGCTTACATGTTTTTTGATCATTATTTGATACAGATTTTTCTAAAAGTTGAGACGATTAACTACAAAGCTATCTCAGGCCAGTATATTAATTGAATTAATACTTATCGATCTATTGAACTTTCCTTTTGCTTTTTGCACCAATGCCAGTGTTTGATACCTTTTTGTAGCCATGATCCCATTTTCATTCTCAAATGTATTAGCACATGGATACAATATGCTCTCATGTATTTATATCTCTATTTTTATAGTTATTTCCAACCATTATTCCATATGTTTTCTTTCTGTCTTCGTTCTCTTTCATCAGTCATACTAGAAATCTATTCTATTAACTTCCCTTGTTAATAGCCTCTATTGCTTTTGTCTTCTGTGATATTCATTACTTTTTTCCAGTAGCAGTTGTATTTGTTTGCATTTCCTCATTTTAGGTTGGATTGAAAAATACTTAGTCCTCTGAGCTTTTAAATTTTCTGACAAGTGTGTTTAAAATTCCTAAGGACTATTAGACTCAGGATTTGTACTTG